GAATGTAAATTTTGTATGATTTTCTCTTCATGCTATAGCTTGCTTTAATTCCTCTTTGATCTTTTAGATCCATCTTTCCATGTTTTTCTCATCATATATGAACATACGCTTCACATTCAAAGCAAGATATGTAATGTTCTGTGTATAGTTCATATAGCGTAAACTTTTTGTCATTTTTTACGACTCCTATTATTCACATGTACAGCTACTTTAACATTTTCAAAACGAAATTTTAATGGTAATTCTGCATCAATCAACATAGTTATAGCAGTTTTGATTATAGTGCGATTAAAGCATTCATTTTTTCCATTGCTTTCTGGAGTGCAAGGGGTTATAAGTTCATGCTTAACTCCCATTTTTATTCCAAAAAATTCTTTTATAATTTTAGCCAAAAATTCACTACCATTTATCCTGTGAATTTTTTTAGTTTCTTTTCTGTTTGTCTTTCTTCTTGCATAATAAGCTTTGTTAAACATTCTGCAGTTTCATTCTTTTTCTCAATTGTTATCACAAATAGGAAGTTACTGTTATCATCTGCTACTCTTAAAAAATAACAATTTCCATCTATTGATTTTTATTTGGTCCAACTAAATCTATATGCAATAATTCTAAACTATCTTCTGATTGCTAAAATTTCACACTTTTATAAGATGTTCTAGTTATGTTTCCTGTACAAGGTTCACAATTGTTTCGAAATTTGTATGCTTTTTTATCCAATGAACTATGTGTTTTTTCCCCCTTCCCATTTCTAGCAGTCTTTGATTATTTAGATGACCTAGTCTCTGATGCCATTGTGCATCATTAACATTACTAATTTTAGCTTCTTCAATTACATTTCCTTCAACTTCAAATTTATTTCCATTTCTGTTAGTTATATATGGAATGTTTCCATGCTTATTGATCACCCGTGTTCTAGTTTTGGTAAAAATTACTTTTAAATAATGTGTAAAGACATTAAGTTATTTCGAAGTAGGAGACATGAAAAATGTGCAGTGCCCTCGCCAGGACATGAACCTTGGACCTCTCGATACATGCGAGTGTGCTGCTCATTACACCACGAAAGCATACTAAGAAGGCAGGAAATATAACATATATTTCTGTATTTCCTCCCCCTTTTAAAGGGTGCTGAGGATTAGGGGACAAAATTGTCAAATTCTGGAGGTGGAGAATCATCATCCACCACCTTTTTTAGTTCAGGTACCACTGTAGAGATCTTAGGTTATTTCAAAGCAGAAGACATAAAAAATGTGCAGTGCCCTCGGCAGAACTCGAACCTTAGACCTCTCGATACTCAATGATTGTGCTGACCATAACAGTAAGAAGGTGGGAGAAATACCTTATAATGTTCTGCAATTTTTTATACTGACAGAAGTTTTTCACATTCGGTATTTTCAGAACATCTTCTACTCTCACGATGTTCTCATTTCTGTCAGTTTGTCTGTTCTTTCCAATTCCAACTGATTTGATCATGCCTTCTTGCACAGCTGTCATTACTTATGGTTCTTCATCTTTAAAACTAATAAATATTTCTTTATTTGTTGATATGTGGAATGTGGCTCTTAAATCTATAGTCCATTTAATTTTTCTAGTGTCTTGTTCTTCTATTTCATTCTCTTCATCATTTTTATCCTAAGACAAAGTTTATTCTATTTTCTTAGGTGCTTTATATATGCATGTAGCTGATGGATATTCTCTTATGTTTTACTTATTAAATTTCTCTGCTTTCTATGTGCTTGTTTGGTTTTCATTTTAAATCCAATTGATTGTGGCTGGATTTTCCACAACTAATGCACTTTATATTGCTATTATTACAACATTCTTTTATTAATTTTCCACAATTAAAGCAGCTTCTGTCATGTTATCTTGATTTTGTTCAGTTTTCCTTTGCCTTAGAACCTACTTCTGTTTTTTATTTCTATGTTTATTTTTTCCCTAGTTTCTTTTAATGCTTGTCTAATTGAAGCTGTATCCTTTCATTTGTTGTTTTTAATGATTTTGACTTCGAATTCATGTTTAAATCCTTCTAATATGAAGTAAATTCATTCTTTATCTATTTCATCCCCCACTTGTATTACCTTTACGTTTCAGAATTTCAGCTTTATTCATGTAATCATCTACCAATTCATTTTGGCCTCATTTTCAGTTGAACTAATTGTGTTCTACATTTGATTTGAATAGCTCTTTTTTTTTTTTTTTCCTCCTTTTTATTTTCTCCCATAGCTTTTTGCATTCTTTACGTTCTGATATTTTAATGTTTGTATAGCTGTCATAGTTTAATTCATTATATTTTATACTATTGCAGTATTATCATCACATATTTACAAAGTTTTTGATTGACTTTCATAATTAACGTCGTCTCTTTTATATGGTTTTGGTGGTCCTTTAACTTTTATCACACCTCTCCATATTTTCAAACTTCTTATTTTACTTTTGATTCTGTTTGTTTATATAAGGTAATTATCATCAGTTAAAATTTCTATGCCGGTTAAATTATCATATATGTCATATTTTCTCATTTATATTTACTAATTATAATATAAATCAAATTTATCTCTCAAAGAAATTAGCTATGTTTTTAACCCTAAGTAACATCAATTTATTCTATATGAAAGTTCATCAGCAGAGAGGCCAACCATGCTCTGTTACCAAATGTTGGTGAAAGTAGTCAAATAAATAATATTCTACATCTTAAAAAAAACACATTATACCAATGTTTCTTTAGTGATGAGTTAAAATTCAGTCTAACATTGGATTTTTAATGTATTTGCATCATGAGGAAGCCGGGAATGGAAAATGTTCTTACCTGATTTACAGAATTTTAACATTTGGTCAGATATAATGGTAAGAGAAAAGTACCATATTTACTCGCATAATAATCGCCCTTTTTTTGCCAATTTTTCATTGTGAAAGTCTAGGTGGTACTATATTGTGGAGAAATCTACTGCATAATATTGTACGCAATTCTAAAACATTACTTTTATAAAAATGTACATTATAAAAATTTAGTACCTTAGCAAATGATACTAGATTATGTGCTGTTTATTAAACAGTCTTTTCATCATTTGTACACAAAAAAGAGGCATTTTTTCCTTTTATGGTAATATTTTTACAGACATTAAATTCACAGATAGTCTTTGTGAAGAATTTGACAAAAATTCTAATAGCAGTACATAATTCATAATAAATCACTTTTCCTGAAGGTATCAGTATCAGTGTTGTAATGTTAATTGGACTCTGGAACATCTCTGTCATTCCATAAAATGTCATCTTCGCTTCCATCCAAAGTGTTGGACATACCGCACATCCATCATTTCGTAATGCATGAACATAAGAAAGAAGTTCTTTTTCTATCACTGGGAAAATGCCATGCTTTGGTCCTCTGAATGCTGCCCTCTTTAACATTTGTTTCTTGTAGCGATTGGTTGGATTTCCTTCAGTCCCTTATCATTTTTTCTCTTACATTCCATTCTTTCCAGCGTGTTCCACAATCTGCAGTTTAAATCTCACCGTATAACTATTATTCTTTTATAAGCTTTCCCATAATCAACCCCCTTCTCCCCCCCAAAAAAAAGATGTCCTAAACACACCATCATGAAATTCACTGCAAAACAAAATGTTGGCAAATATTCTTTTTCTTTAACTTTAGATATGTGCAGCCCAGTAAATTTAGAGTAAATGCATACCTTCTTTAACGAAGAATGAGTTCAAAACTTTAAAATGAGGGGAGGATAAGAAATCCTGCCCCAGGGAGCTCTCCCATCCTGTCAAGAGAAGCAAGCAGTTCCTTGTCTCGTTATTGAGTGACCAATAAGAATGTCAGTAGGAGTCAAACGAGATGAACCCATTATGGGTACTAGTTTTGGGAAGAGTACAGCTGATAATTTTTTATTGTATAGATGAAGGTCAAATACGTGACTGCAACTTTTATGCAGGGAAAATATTTTCATTTTTTCTGCTTCAAAATGAGGGGGGGGGGTGACTACTACACGAGTAAACAATGTATTAATCCTTGAATGTCTTTGACAAAGAACTTGTATATGCCCAAAAAAAGTCAGAATAAATCTTTGAACTCCACATACACTGATTTTTACAACAGAGTATGGACCTGATTTCTTATGGATGATAAATCTGAGCATATGGAAGCTTTGCTTTTTATATTTTTTATTTCATACATTCTTTGCACATTTTTATATTTTTTATTTCATACATTGTTTGCATATTTTTATTTCATACATTAAAAAATATTTTTTTTACACCTGGGAACACACCTTGAAGCATAACTGAACAAGACCTAGTTCATTAGTTACTGTTGACACTTGGAAATAATTAAATAAAAATTACTTCTCAACAGATAATGCTCATTCGCATGAAACAAACATGGTTGATTAATTTCTTCAAATCGACTGAATGCATCGAGGGAATGAACTAACCTGCTGGATTGAATGCCATGGAGAAATTATGTTAATGTTCTTATAAAAATTGTGATGTGGTTTAATTCTCCTTCTAATTGTCTGAGGGCTTTGATAAGTAGGCTAGTGAAGGAATAGAACTTTCTTTCCCATTAGCTATTCTATTAAAAGCATTAATTGAATGAGATAAATGTATTATTCAGTTTTATGGGCTTTGCATATGCATCTCATGAGATTATATTTCTTATTATTGTTTAGAGTATGCATCTGTTTCTGCAGTATTGGCTTTTCTAAAATATTGTGTTGTCAATTTTATTGTTTCATATTATAATTTTATGCTGTTTGCACTCATATTCAAGTTTTCAATTTGTATATGTGTGTATATATATATATATTGATGCCTAGTATTACCCTACATAAAGCTGTTTTATTTTATCCAGCTAGTTTTTGAGAAAGGATAGTTTTTGTGCATGTAAAGATGATTTATGATACCAATGCATGTAAATAAATTGTTTCAAATACAAGCTTTAGAGAAGCACATAAGCTTTCTCTATTTCCTCTGTGTCAATATTTTTTTTAATCTTCTTGCAGGAAATGTGCCATGTTCAGTGTTTTACTAATAACCTTTTACATATGGTTGTATGTACGTCTGATTACAAAGTTATTGGATGTGGCGATGAAAACAAGTAAATATAATTTTTAATTGATGTTAACTGTATCAATCTGAAAATGTTTTTGTGTTATTCAAATGAAATAGAGATTTAGGCCAAATAATGAATTTAGGGTTACTGATTACCTTAGAAGGATTTTAGTAAGTACTTTCAACTGTTGATGTAAGAAGACTGAGGAAAAATTAAAATTTCGTTCTTAACCCTTTCATGACAAGTGCTTCAATCACTGAACCAGTCTCTCGAATTGGCGTGCTAATAGAATATACTATCTTGTAAGGGTAGGCAACTTTCGCTGCTAAGTCTAATTTTGTGTTAGACATAAATTAAATTTATGGTCCAATTTCTTTAATATATGGTACACTATGAGAACAACACTCGGATAGTCGTCAGAATTAATTTTAATACATTATCACTATATTTTCCTTAAAAATTCTGTTAAATAGTACATTCTAGAATAATAAAGTTTTTGACATTTCCTCAAATAAATATGTGCGGGGAAATACCCAAACAGATGTTGCAGATTTTATTTCACAGTAATAAAAATCGATTTCATAAAAAGTACAGAATGAAAATGGCTAAAAGAAGCAGTATTTCAAAAAGGAGACAGTATTTGATATTCTTTGAAATATGGGTGTATGCAAAGTGGTATGTTGCATATCTCACAAAAAAAAAAAAAAAATATCTGCTCCTGTTTTCTGAATTGCATGACAGTTTGTGTGCAAAAACTGCATTGTCTGTGGCACTTTTCTGTACTTTCATTTAGATTTAAATTAGGAAAAAATCTCCCCAAAAATCTTAAAAGTGAGTGTGATTATCTTGCAGTGAACTTAGTTTTCACCGTGTAATCTTCATATTTTTCAAATAATTCTTTCATTTTAAATTTCAGGAATGTCATCCAGTCCATATTTTAGGCATAAGAACTTTAGTATTCATGACTACAGTGTTCATCAATTCCCAAAACAGTTTTTTATACAATACAAAGTCTGAGATCTGGAATTGTCAGAACTTTCACAATTCAAGATTTTAGATCATCTGTTTAACACATTGCATGTGGGTATACTTCACTGCGGACTTATGTGTGTAGCGACTGTTTTTTCATGAATTCTGTGAGAGTTTGGTCATTCTGTAAAATCTTAATACTGCATGCAAACACCATGCGCACATGCAGTGCCCATTATATTTATATGATACTTGTTGTCCAACACAAATCTATTAAATATTTACTTTTATTTGGCTCTTGCTGTGGTGACAGATTGCAAAGAGCGTAAAAGTATGTTTCCCGCATGCAGTGTGTTAAAGCTAGTAAGATGTCATGTAGACAAGACAGTACTGGGACTTCACGTATTGTTTAAATTAAATTTAATTTTTAATAAAATTTTTAAAAATGCCAACACCCCACGGGACCAGCACAAGTGCAATCGATGTGACTGCACTGGGTGTCGGAACCTAGAGATGGCAAAAATTTTAGAATTTAGGCAAGAACTGAGCAACAAAATTTAGGTCTTGCAGAAATTGCCTTCAGGCAGCGAAATGCATAGACCAGCCCTGGACCTCCCCATTTCCAAAAGTGTGATTCTGGCTAACATCAATACAACATCAATTAGGGCATTGTTACTGGCCATGGTGCAACTTCCCTAGCCAACAGGTGTTTAAAAGTAATGTGCAGTTAGTTATCTTAATTAATCCAGTGAAAAATCACATTTACAGCACACCTGCTTCTTCTTGTTATTATATTCTCCATTCCTAGATTTTTCAGGAGGGAAATATTTTTTATTATTTTATTTATTTATTTGGAAGCTGATCTGAAGTTCCAGATATTGGATGTCCATATTGCGGACTTAGCACTACAAGGTATTTCTCCCGCCTTCTTAGTGTGCCTTCGTGGTGTAGTGGTTCTGCATGCTGGGCCGGTATTCCAGAGGTCCGGGGTTCGATTCCCGGTGAAGGCGATTGCTCATTTTTCATCTTGCCTGCTTCCAAAAAAATACCTAATGACTCTACAGTACTGTAACTGTGATATCACCCCTTTCTTCATCCTCCGCCTCATAGAGATAAAGCTCCAACTTCTTGTATTTTAAACATTTATTGCACAAACACAAAACTAATACTAATAACTGAAATATATAAAGTAATACAAGTTAATTTCAGTTTCATTAATGGCTTCCATGAGCCTTCCTTATGACCTCTCTATCGGTCTCCCTCTTGGAAACTAAACTTTTGGCGCCTTCAGATTGAGAGCCAGCGCCCTCTATACATCTTGTTGGTTCATGTCACCCATACATCACAGTAACATTTCGTGGATTTTCCAGAATGATGGATGATGAGTTGTGATTGCATCTCCTGTGTCAGTAACTCTCATATCAGTAAAATGACTCATTTATCATATTTATATGTTTCTATTAAATGTTGTTTGAAGTATCAAAATATTCCATTAAAGGATACACAAAATATTTGTCTCACTGCTAGCTGAACTGTAAGAAGCATGATTAAAACCTCTAAAACCATAGAGCATCTACTTCCTTGTCAACAGAAACAAAAGTATCCAGAAGCATTGAGAACAAACACATGCATGTGTTTATATCAGCTGATGCAATTAATAGCCACTCTGTTTATTTGTATCACTCATCCCCATGATTTCATCTTTAATTTTAAAACAAAAGACCCAAAATAAAAAATACTGCAACAGAATGAAGACCAACATTCTCTGGTTTCAATACATTCCACAATAACAAACCTAGGACTGCATCTAGTGGCACCAAAAAATTACTAATTAAATGTTCTATTTAAATTTCATATGTGATACACCCATCTTCAAAGTTAAATTAAATGGTGATTCATATATGCCATACCTGGCTGTGAGATAACACCTGTGGCTAATGCATATGTGATGTGTGCATTCCGAAGGGTTAAATTCAAAATAGACTTAAAGAGATACAGTTTTTGAGAATATTTTAATGAGCTTTATTTTTTGCTCAACTTGCAATGAGCTTTACTTAAATAAGCTAAATGAGCTTTATTTTTTGCTCAACTTTCATTCTGTGTGCATGTGTAAAAGCTCAATTACAGAATCTTTGCAAAATGAAAGCAAGTGTATATTTGTGTGCATTGTATTTGCAAACCTGCTTTACAAAGTACAAAATAATACACATGCTTGAACTCAGTTTAAACTTATTTTTCTAAAATCATAATTGTTTGAATGAACAAGAGATAATGTCATGTTCTTAAAATTCCTCTTTTATATTGCAAAAATTGAGAAAGCTTACCTCTGTCTCCTTAATTCTTTTATATTAAGAGAAAAGCAGTTTTGTCATCATTTTTTAATGCTTCTTGAAATTTATCAGGAGATAAAAGGTAAAGAATACGTTATGAAATATTATAATAACCATCAAGATTTCAAGTTATCCTGTTTCAAGAAACATTAATTCTATTCACACATAACACCAAGGTAAATAACATTAAGAATCAGGTTTCTAAACTTCGAAGTTTATTCAAGTCTAACATGCATTCAACTGGCACTGCCAGATCCAAGAACAAGAAGAATACATCATAAAAGATGTGCGCTTTCTTTGGCGATTTAAATATATTTCTACATAAAATTTCTTACACACTGGGCCTGGCTGAACAGTAGCTCAGAACTATCAAGATTCTGAGTGATACATGAACATTTTCAAGAATTATTTTCAATAATCATTATGCATTTCAATACAAATTCAAGTTTTTGTAATCAAGAAATGTCACATAAACGTCAAGAACATGTAAACTTACCATATGTTTCAATAATATCAAGTAAATTTTCATTCATCAAGGATTATTGTTATAGCATTCCTGTTCAAGCATCAGGAATTTAAATCAAGAATTTATATAACTCAAGATAATATTAAACAAATAACATTTCAATAACCCAACTAAAATACTAGAATTATTACAAGAAACCTGTCTTTTTTTTTTTTTTTTTTCAGAACTAAATTAAATTTTAAATACACTTACACATTTCTGCAACCTTAAAATGTTCTAGTATATACATTTCTTTAAATATTAAATATACAATACTTTAAATAGCATTAAGAGTATTTTTCAGTAAGAAATACTAATACTCTTAACATACTAACTTAACTAATAACTGTAAAGGTCTCTTTATAATGCTTTTTTCAACAACTGTGAATTAGTCCATCTCTACCAGTAAAATATTTTGAGAACCTTTCCTAATCTCTACATGTTACGTGGTAAATGTTCATAATGTATTATCACGATGTCGTTCACACTCAAGTTGTGCTTTGCACAGTGATTGTGCAGATTTCAGATTCAACAAAATGCTCTTTATAAAATATTTTCCAAAAGTTATTTAATAATTTTTCATGATATAGATGCGCTTTTAAAAGAATTTCTTTAGTACTGCTCACTTCATGAGTGTATTTGACAGGAGGCAAATTAGCAAGTTTCTACCCTAGCAGAAAATGAGCAGGTGACAGAACTTGGGGCTCATTATCTTGGACATAAGTCAAGGGTCTACGATTTATCACCACCTCAATTTCAGTCCGTACAGTTTCCAATTCAGCTGCCTTGAATGTACACGCGTTATCTGAGTATATTAAAGAGCACAACTGTCTTCTTGATATGAATCGACGAAAAGCAAGTAGGAAAGATTTATGAGATCTTTTATTAGTGTAAGATGAATGCCTCTAGTTACTGCACAGGTAAATAATAGGATATAATACTTTGTATCTTCATTTTTCATGAAAAAAATGGGCCTGCATAATCCAGTCCTATAACATCAAAAGGATTTGCTTTTTCAATTCTAGATGGAGGTAATGGTGCTATGACTTGTCGCATCGGTTGGGAGTTATAACGCTGACACAGTACACAGTTTCTTATAACACGTTTTACATTTTGTCTGGATCTAATTATCCAATATTTTTCATGGAGGAACATGAGAGTACTAGCTACACCTGTATGAAGAACTCGTTCATAGGCATCACGTGCCAGAAGATCCGTAAAATGAGTTTTTGAAGGAATAA